GGAGCCGACCACGGCCTCAGACCCGACCACGGCTTCGGACCCTCAAGGGTCCGACCGCGTCCTCGGATCCTCAATGGGTCGACCACATTCTCGGCCCAGCAGCGCAATAACATGAAGACGAGCCGATGACACAAAGACAGTCCAAAGCCCGGTCCAGACGCGAAGCCCACTTTGATGCAACCGACCTTGGCAAGGAAGAGATCTGCGAAGACTTAGGAGGCTTAGCCGCCTTAGAGAGAATATATATACTTGATGTAAAAGCCCTTGAGGAGGCATTCACAATCTTGTTCCCAAAATCTTACAGAGCAACAACAAACAACTTTTTTCATACCTTTGTGATCTTAGATAACCCTAGAAATCTCTACCTCTTCACGAAACCCTAACAAATCTAATTGTGCTAGTTTCGACTCCCACAATTTGGCGCCGTCTAAAGGGACTCAGAGAATCTCTGACACAACAAACTAAGTTTCTACAAAGATTTAAGAAGATGTCTGGGAACAACAACGTAAGCAGCGAAGGATCCTCGTCTCACAGGAACGACGAGGAGAATGAGAACTCCGTGGAAAACCCTGCACCTAACGCCGCTAACAACCCAGCGGACATAACGGAGATAAAGCAGATGCTCGAGACGCTCGTCAAGGGAGCGYAKGAGCAACRGAAGTTCAATGAAGCAACTGCGACTGAGCTGCGATCGCTCTCACGTAAGCGCAAGAGGTCCCGCATCAACCCACATCGCCTCTTCAACACGCCTTGGATCGGTCAGAGAGAGCGGCCCAACGCGTTGCCACCTCGGACCGCTCGCACTGATCCGGAAGGCYTGCYACCACYGCCGCCGCGTCGGGACATCGATAGAACCCCCGAACGTGCTATGGAGGTATCGGACGACGATCAACCTCCTCATCGAAGACGTGTCCGAATGGACGCTGCWGACAGMACTACGGCTGATGGAGAAGGGGCTCCYACCATAGCAGAACTTTATAGGASGGAGCATGAGCGCAGGGCTCCACCAAGTTCCCGCGACGAAGAGGTCGCTGCGCTAAAAGCACAGTTGGATCAGGTCATCTCTGACCTGAAGACTACTAAGCTACAGATGTACCGGAGCACAGGGAAGGGTCCTGGGGTTGCTTACGTGCTGGAGAAGGCACGAAACACACCCTTCGCTGAAAACATCTCRGGGGCTAAAATCTCTGATCCCRGAAGAGTCAAGCTTCCGAGCTACGAAGGAACCTCAGACCCTGCTGATCATTTAATGGAGTTCGAGGTAGCCCTAGGTAGGGCAAAATTCAGAGAAGCCGAGAAGGACATCGGCTACTACAAGCTGTTCGTGGAAAGCCTCAAAGGGCCTGCCCTCCA